ATATATATGGGCTGGAGAGATGGCTCATAGGCTAAGAGCACTTGCTGCTCTTGCAGAGGACCCAGGTTCAAATATGGTGGCATAATTCTAGTTCCAGGAGATCTGGTACCCTCTTCTGACCTCTGTGGGTGCTAGGCATACACATAGTGCACATACTTGCATGCATACACATAAAGTGAAAACAAATAAATCTTTTGAAAATAATAAATTCAGTGTTTGTTGTAGTAGATTTCAAAATGACTATCTGCTTTAGACTTGTATGCATTCTAATCAGGGGGAATATATATATATATGAAATATAATATATATATAATAAGGGTGATTATATATATATAGATATATATATATTCTTCCCCTTAGTGGTAGATATTGTTACATTGTCTTCAAACTTGAAGAGCCTTAGAAAACACAAGTAAATCATCTTTTTTGGTTTGTTTTCCAGTACAGGAAAACTAGGCACTGTGATATATGCCTTAATCCCAACACACTAGAGATGGAGGTGGAAGGATTCCAAAGTCAAGGTCATTCTCAGCTAGAGGAAGCCCGACTTCAAAGAAAGAGAGAAAACAGAACTGAGAGGCCAGAGAGTTACATGATTCCATGGGGCTGTGCCACTGGGTCAAAACGTCGTCACTTTGCACTGTGTCGTGTGTTTTACTGAGAGGGATTTGTGGTTTTAATCAGCACTTGAATCACAGGCTCTTTCTTTCTTCTGTCATTCAGTTTCCCTTTCAAGACAATCTGTTCCAATCCATGTACTACCCTCTCCAGCTGAAGTTTTTGGAGACAGTGCACACGCTGTGTGGACGGATCCCCCAGGTCTTTCTGAAGCAGATTGAGAAAACGATGAAAAGGGCTTACGAGAAGCACGTCATCATCCACATGGGCCCCAACTCCATAAGCTGAGTGCCCCCCTTGCTCTGAGTCAGCCTGGCATCTGTGACTGAGGACATGGATCATACGCTGCCCGGATATTTGTGTGTGGGCATATTTACTGGTGCTCTGTGACTGCTGAGGTTCAAATGCCTGGTTACATTGTGCTTGAGTTGTTTATCCCTAAAAGGGAATGTGCTTTTCTTTATTATTTTTAAATACTATTTATCTTTTTTTTAAAAAAGTTATTATCATGAATTTAAAACATTGTCTCATTGGATTGAGAAAGAAAAGGGAACTTTTCCTAGCCCTCAAATATGAGACCCTGTCAGTGTATGCAGGATGATAATTATCTGATATTCTTTAGAATCTTCCTATGCAACTTGCTCTCTCACCCCCATTAAGAAATAATGTGTGTTGGGGCTGGCAGGATGGCTCAGTGGTAACAGCATGTGCCACCATGCCTGATGGCCTGTGTTCCCGATTCCCTCGAATCGAGAGGATTCTAAGAGGATTGACTCAAGTTATCCTGACCTTCATGTGGGCCCACACTCACACCCACAAATAAAGAAATGTAATATTAAAAATAACAATAGGGATAGCTGGGCAGTGGTGGCGCACACCTTTAATCCCAGCACTTGGGAGGGAGAGGCAGGTGGATTTCTGTGAGTTCGAGGCTAGCCTGGTCTACAAGAGCTAGTTCCAGGACAGGCTCCAAAGAAACCCTGTCTCGAAAAACCAAAAAAAAAAAAAAAAAAAGAAAAGAAAAGAAAAAACAATAGGGGGCTAGAGAGATGGCTCAGTGGTTAAGAGCACTGACTGTTCTCCTTGAGGATCCAGGTTCAATTCCCAGCATCCACATGGCAGCTCAAGGCTGTCTGGAATTCTAGTTCCAGGGGCACTGAATGCTTTTCCAGAGAACCTGGATTTCATTTTTAGTACCCACATAATGGCTCACAACCATCTGTAACTCCAGCTCTAGGGGTCCAGCACCCTCTTTTATCTTCCACAGCCAATAGGCACACAGTGTGCACAAAATAATAGCTTTTAAAAATTAAAATAATAATAATATGTTATGAGACAGACAAACTTGGAGAGAATAAAGGTCAGTGAACCACAGTCAAGATTAGATTAGATGTAATCCTACCAACCCCTGGAAAAGGTTGTCACCATTGTAATGTATTTCTTTCCAGACTCGTTAAGACTTCCCTGACTTCTGTGTTTCCATTGTAACACATTTAAAACGTGCGACCTCGGTAAAGACCAGCCTCTGTGCTAAGGTTTCACATAGGAGACTAAAAAGCCAGACGAGATAATTACAGCACCGCTGTGTCTGGAAGAGGCTTTCAGACCAGCTAATTGGGGCAGCATTTCAAGATGAAGCGTATGTCTGAGAGTGCATCCCAGAAGAATTGCTGCGCTCCAAGGAGGGCGCAATCAGGAGACATTTCTATGCAACAAAAGCCTCGGAGAGAAAGCCCAAGGGATCTCTTTAGCAAAGAGGTCTGATTTTGTATTTCTCCACGGACAAGAGCACTTGACCGAACTTCTGCGCAGTGGGTAGAAATCAAAGGACAAGTTCAGGCTTTTGAGGGGGCTTTCCTTGTTGTTGTTTTAATTGTATTTTTAACTGTGTGTCTGTGTCTGTGTACGGGCATGTAAGTGCAGGTGCCTGTGGATACCAGAGCAGGAGGGCATTAAATCCCTTTGAGCTTGAATTACAAGTGGTGAGCCTCCTGACACGGGTGCTGGGCACTGAGCGTGGGTCTTCTGCAAGAGCAACAAGTGCTCTTACCCACTGAACTATCTCCCCAGCCCTTGCTTTGTTTTCTTTTGTATTTTTAAGACAACCTGCCTGCCTCCACTTCCAAGTAAGTACTGAATAGACAGGTGTGTGCCCCCACACCCAGCTCCAGTTTCAGAGTTAATGTGGTCAAAGTAAATATTTCAGTTGATTTCACAGGCAAGAAAATTCAAATTCCTGCCAATCTCAGGTCTCTACCTTTTTTTTTTTTTTCTTTTTCCGCTGTGGTTAGCCAGCGCTAAGCTTAGAAGCTTTGCAATTCTATCACCTAGCTACAGTAGAGGAAGTTCTTATTCTATCCCCAAGAGGGATCTGACTTAATCCCTAGTTGCTCTTAAGGTTGCTATCAGGGTAGGGACATTTTGCATAATGCTTTATTTATCTCAAATGACTTTGACATAAACAACCTTTTTGAAGTCTCGGGCAGCCTAGGGAACTAGGAGGGGCCTGTATCACCTCCGTGAAGTAACGGAGGGAAAAGGGACGTAGTTGATAGAAGTACATTTCTATAAAACACGTGTTTGTGTAAGATGAATCCTGTTTCCCAGGGAGGAAGAAATTGAAAATAAACACCCTGAGTCCTCTTCCTCCTACACAGAAAGCAGACAGAAAGTGAGAAGTAATAAACATTATTTTTACTAATGCGATGTAGTAGCCCGCGTATCAGAATCCAGCAGGTTATCTCCGCCCCTGTATCAGCAGAAATGGCTCGTCCTGAGGAGACAGCGGAGAACCTGTGCTACAAAGGCAGTAGGGGTAGACGCAGCTGTGGTAGTCACAGGGGCAGAGCTGGAATGCTGAGCTACGGCCACTCTCCCCTCTCGCCTACAGCCTGGTTCTCAGGGAAACCACCCTGGGATGCACAGCTCTCATTTCCACTCTTGTTTGTGTCCTCACCACTGCTGGTGACACTTATTTTGTTTTTTCCCCGGCTGTGGGCACGTGGGATGCGCAGTAAATACCCACAAACTAGGTTTTGGTGACAGAGCCAGAATATACACATACAGCACTGGCTTCGAGTCCAGTCTTGTTTTTTGTCTGTTCAGAACATTCATTGAACCCAAGAGCGCTATTTAGATTTTTCACTGGTTACCAGATCTAAAAACCTTTGGTCTGGTCTTCAGAGAAGTCTTTGAATACAAAATACAACAATGCCTTTGACTTTATGAAAACCAGGTCCACTCCCAAGGCTCTTCTGTTTGATGCCAGCTGAATCTGTAACACTGTTGCCAGTGAAGGTGTAGAATTATAGTAAATATTATTTGGCATTTGCTCATAAAGAATGAATGCCATATGTTTGATGAACCAAAATGGACATTGTTTCATGATCAAGTTCAGAAATTCACTGCTGGAGTAATTGTGTCATAGAACAGAGCAAAGTAATTCTTCTGGTTTTGTTTCTTGCTACCTTTTTGTTTTTGATTTTGTTTTTGTTTTTTAGAGACAGGGTTTTTCTGTAGCTTTGGAGCCTGGAACTAGCTCTTGTAGCCCAGGCTGGGCTCAAACTCACAGAGATCCACCTGCCTCTGCCTCCCAAGTACTGGGAGGCGTGCACCACCACTGCCTGGCTTCTTGCTGCTTTTTTAATGTTTGCTTTCCTCTTTCTGTCTCTGATATAAATATCTGGGTAGTATAGAACCTGGGCTTTAGTGGACCAAGAGACAGAACTTGGAGACCTCTGTGTAGGCAGAAGAGAAGTCCATCTAGATAGGACATTTCAGGCATTTTTAAAGTCTACACATGCATGTATGTACTCACGCCCCATGCACACACATCACATGCCTCTTTTTTTTTTTTTGTTTTTTTTGTTTTTTTGGTTTTGGTTTTTCAAGACAGGGTTTCTCTGTATTGCCTTGGCTGTGCTGGAACTCCTTTTGTAGACCAGGCTGGCCTTGAACTCACAGAGATCCACGTGCCTCTGCCTCCTAAGTGCTGGGATTAAAGGCGTGCGCCACCACCGCCCAGCCATCACATGCCTTTTAAAAGAGACGCCAACTTCGGCTCTATCTGTGAGTTGAAGAGTTATACAAGGTCAACGCTTAGGTCATTTCTTAATAACCTTGCTGCCATCTAACTCCGACAAGATTTCTCAGACATGAGAGGGTGCTTTGTTCTCATTTTTGTTCTTCACAGGTCAAAACTGGAAATATTCTCCTGAGTCTTCAACAGAAAACTCGTGTGTCACTACATGTGTGAACATATGAGAATCGGGTGCAGTTTTGCTTCGCTGGGTTGACATGCCAGTGGTGTCATTGAAAAAGCGTGTCCGTTGTTCAGAGCCCCTAAGGGGTCCTTGAGCGCATTTTTTTTTATTGGAAAATGCCGATGTTTTTGTGGTTGTACGTTTTGTTTGCAAAGAAATACATTTAAAAAAGAATAATCCAAAGACAAAAAAAATTATTACAATGAAGTAAAATAGGAGACAAGTACCAAGATGAAATAACTATCTCGTCTTTTTAAATGTCATCTCTCATTTTACCTTTTTTAAACTAAAAGCTTTAAATATGTGTTATTTGATATTACTTTTGAATTATGTATGTATGTATGTTTTTCTTTGTAAGATGTTAAGCCTAAAAGTGTATCTTAAGTATGTATAACTAGTAAAGAGTATTTAATAAGTAGCATAGTTTATTTTTAAAAAAATCATTAAAAATTTTACTGTGCTTATAATAGTGTCAGAAGTTATTTGATTTTTGTTGTTATTGTTGTTGTTGTTTGTTTGTTTTTTAGTTTTTGTTTGATTTGGTTTGGTTTCTTGAGACAGGATTTCTCAGCAGCTGTAGAACCTGTCCTGGAACTAGCTCTGTAGACCAGAGTGGCCTCAAACTCTAAACGCTAACTAATGCTGCTACCAGGGACCTGGGTACTGAAGTAGGAACTTGTGATACAATAAACCCAGTTGGATTATACCAACCCAAAAGCAAACAAAGGCTGCTCTGCCATGGCCTTTGACCTACAGAGTATGGGATGATGTTGACTTGTGTACATCTCACTTTTCATCACTCGAGAGTTCATGAAAGCGTCTTTAAACTCATTTTAGTCGGTGAATATTAAGGTAGTATAAGGCTAAAATATTAAGAGAGTGAAAGCAAAGGTGTGAGGTCCCAGACTGGTAGAACAACGACAATACCTACGCGGTTCTTGATGTTTATTGAACGAGTGGATGTTTTTCACAATATGTTTCCTTTATGATGCCACATAGTTAGGAAGGAGATGGAAGTTCAGACCATGGAACAAGTCTGGCATGTCTTCCCAAGGTCTTATTCGGAGGATTTGGAAACTATACTAAATAAATTGCTACTTGAAGGTGGGGGTGTAACTCAGGGTAGGACACTGGCCTAGCATGCTCAAGGTCCTGGTTTTGATCCCCAGCCTCTGATCCCCAAATAAAGAGGGGAAGAGGAGAAAGAAGGATGGAAAGGAAAAAGGAAAGAGAGAAAGATGCTAGGATAGAAAGCAATAAACAATAATGGTTAAAGATACATTCTACTTCCCCTTCTGGGGAGATCCATATCTGTCTTTTGTTGACTGAGGTTTCTGGCCCTCCCGGTCTCGCAGTTGTTCACCCCAAAGAAAACACACAGAGGTCTACATTAATTATAAACTGATTGGCCTAGTGGCTCATGCTTCTTATTAACTCTTATAACTTATAATTAGCCGATAATACTTGTCTGTGTTAGCCACGTGGCTTGCTACCTTTTTCCGCTGAGGCAGTAACATCTTACTTGCTCTGTATCTGGCTTCCTGTGTGTCTGGGTGACAACTGCAAACTGAAACTTCCCTCTTCCCATAATTCTCATTGCCCCGTCTCTACTTCCTGCCTGGTTGCCCTGCCTATACTTCTTGCCTGGCTACTGGCCAATCAGCATTTATTTAAAATACAAGTGACAGGGTACAGACCACAGCAGTCTCTTGTAGGGTTCTCCTTATATCCTGTCTTCTCTGGGGTTGTGGACTATAGACTGGTTATTCTTTGCTTTATATAAATATCCTTTTATGCAAGAGTACATACCGTGTTTGTCTTTCTGGGATTGAGTTATCTCACTTAGGATGGTTTTTATACCTTTTTCAGCCTAGATAGAGAGAGGAGGGCATTGGTCCTGCATCAGGTGATATGACAGACTTTGTTGACTTCCCATGGGAGGCCTCATCTTCTCTTCTCTGAAGGATAGATGGGAGGTAGGGTGGGGAAGAGATGGTGGAAGCGGGGGGGGGGAGGGGGGGGGGGGGGACACTTAGATTGGTATGTAAAAGAAGATTGTTTTTAAAATAGAATTTTAAAAAATCATAAAGTAAAATAAAAATTAAAAAAAAAAATACACTCTAGGTCAAGCACCACAGAGCATGCCTGTAATTGCAGCTCTCAAGAGACTGAGGTAACAGGATCTTGAGTTTGAAGCTAGTGAGACCATGTCGTGTGTATGTGTGTGTGTGTGTGTGTGAGCGTGTGTGTATGTGAGACACACAGAGTTGTATTAAGATCCTGAATAACAACCAACTGAGTTAGCTTCCTCTGTTTATCTTCCCTGCAACTCTTCCACGCAAAACATTATTACTCCCTGCATCCAAGTCCTCTGATCCAGATTTTCACCCTCCTGCCTGTTTTGGCTCTGATTTCCTCCTAGCTCCACTCCTCCCTGGGAAGCTCCTTTACCTCTTGTTTTTGCTCTTAGAATAATGCCCAAGCTGCTTTTCAGATCCCGAGCAGTTTCTGTGCGATTCATCCCCGGGTTTCCTCCTGGCGCTCTTTCCCCACTTCTTCCATAACTTCCAGTCTTCTCTCCAAGCCCTTTATGTCTTAGCCTCCCCTTTGCCTCCCTGATCAGAGCTTAATGAAAGAGGCATTTCTTTTTAACGGCTTCCCGTGATCCCCCAAGGATGACCAAGCCTTCTCGTACACACATTTGTATGTGTCACCCTGTACATTGTCGTGTCTGTCTATTGAAATAATGACAGTAAGCCAGGTGTGGTGATGCACACCTTTAATCCAAGCACCCAGGAGGCAGACGCAGGTGGATGTCTGTGAGCTCCAGAATACTT